CCAAACATCAGAAGCCGCTGGGTATATGTGTTAAATGGCATATATATTTTATGCATTTTTGTGTTTACATTCAATATTTAGCTATATAAAATGGAGAAGAAAAACCTTAGTTTCCTAATAATAAACCTAAATTTAACTACATCTTGGAAACCATTTAATGCCATTTCTGCATGACCCTACAAGCACAAAAAGGTAATATGCACAAAGATGTTCAATCCAGAATTGTTCATAATAGCCCAATTTGGAAACCCACTCAATGTCCATTAGTCAGGAACTAACTAGTTCAATTATTAATATAAAACATACCTACAATGGACTATTGTGCAGACATTAAAAATAATGATGTGCAGGGCATGGTGGCTCATGCCTGTAATCCCAGCACTTTGGGAGGCAGAGGTAGGAGGATCACTAGAGGCCAGGAGTTCAAGACCAGTCTAGGCAACATAGCAAGACCCTGTCTCCACAAAAAAAAAATTTTTTAATTAGCCAGGTATAATGCACACCTGTAGTCCCAGCTACTTGGAAGGCTGAGGTGAGGTCACTTGAGGCCAGGAGTTCAAGACTGCAGTGAGCTATGATCATGCCACTACACTCCAGCCTGGGCAACAGAGCAAGATTCTGTCTCTGAAATAAACAAATAGAATGATGTAGATCTGTATCTATTGAAAATGAATGTGTTCTTTTTCCCCTTCCAGGGATGCTGTCTGGAGGCACTCAGAATGGTCCAGCATTTGACATACTGTGGTAGGTTTTCCTACAATACAGCCTCTAACAAAACTAGGCTGTCCTGACCCCCTGGTAATGGAATTGTTTACCCTTATACCAAGAAGGTTGGGACAGCACCAAAATCTGCATGTGGCCTGTGCCCAGGCAGACTTGGAGGGGTTCATGCTGTGAGACCCGAAGTTCCTATGAGGTTGTCTAAAACAAAAAAACATGTCAGCAGGGCCTGTGGGGGTTCCATGTGTGCTGAATGTGTTCATGACAGGATCAAGCGTGCTTTCCTCATGAGCAGAAAATCGTTGTGAAAGTGTTGAAGGCACAAGCAGACAGTCAGAAAGCTATATAAGAAAATGAAGCTTTTTTAAGTAATAAAAATTAAAATACTTAAAAAAAACCCCAGTGTGATACACTATGTATTACTGGGTGAGAAAAGCTTATTACAAATGATCATGTATAATATGATCCCATTTGGAAGGAAGTATAGTATAGCACAGCAGTGCTCAAACTGCTGTCAGGAGCCCCTTACACTAAAAAATTATTGAGGACCCCAAAGAACTTTTGTTTATATGAGTTATATATATACTGATATTTACTGTATCCATAAAGATCAATAAACTAATTTTAATTTTTATTTATTTAAAAATAGTAATTGCCCATTTCATATTAAAAATAATATATTTTATGAAAAACAACTATTTTCCTCAAAAAACTCAGTTAAAAGAGTGGCACTAATTTACATTTTTACAAATCTCTTTCCTGTCTGGATTAGAAGAAGACAGGTAGATTCTCCTATCAGCTTCTGCCTTATGGTGAGCGCATCAGCCTGCTAGGGCTGCCATAACAAAATACCACAGATGAGGTGGCTTCAACAACAGAAATTTATTTTCTCATAGTTCTGGAGGCTAGAAGTTCAAGATCAAAGTGTTAGTAGGTTTTCTCCTGAGGCCTCCTTGGCTTGCAAGACGGCCACCTTCTCACTGCATCCTCACACGGCTCCTCCACCGCGCGTGCGCTAGTTTGGCGTCTCTTTGTGAGCCCAAATTTCCTCTTCTTGTAAGGACACCAGTCGATTGGATTAGGGCCCACCGTAGCAGCCTTACGTTAATTTAATCACCTCTTCAAAGGCCCTATCTCCACATAAACAGTCCCATTCTGAGGTACTGGGGGTTAGGGTTTCAACATATAAATTTTGGGGAGGACACAATTCAGCCCACAGCAGCAGGCATAAATGAAAATAGCTAGTAAGATTACAGGAGGAGTACTGAGAGTGAACTGAGTTAATCTCTGAAAACATGTATGTTTATACCCTAAACCTACCAACTTACAAAATTCTAGAAAACAAAAATATACAAGCACACATTCCATTAACCATCAGAGTGATGGTCACCACATCACGTAGCCTCTGGAAAACTCCACTGAATACTCGTGAGAGAATGTGAGAGAAAAAGGCAAATAATACTTTGGTGTTTTTATGAAAATAGTTTGGGCCTCACCAACCTTATCTAAAAGGTTCTTGGAGGCTCCTAGGAGCACAAAGACCACACCTGGAAAACCACTGGTACAAGGTGTATGACCTTAGGCAAATTTCTTAACCTTGTTAAGCCTCAGTTTGTAAAATGAGAATAATAATACCAATTTAAGTGGGCTGAGGAAAGATTGAGTTAATGCATAAACTAGTGACAAATATGATCATTCGGCTAGTATTAGCTGTTATTACTTGTGAAAAATTATTATACTGAATTTCTCATCTTTGATATGTGCTTAAATGCATAGGGAGTAGTTAACTCCGGGTGATGAAATTTATTAAGCATTTAAATTAACATGTAACATACACACTGATAAAAGCACAAAGCATAAATGTATAGTTTGATAATTTTTCACGAAATAAACTTATTTTACCTTTGTTTTAAAAAAAAATAAAAACACCACTAATAAAACCCACCATAACAGCCGCTGCTGTCCTCACTTGTACTAGCTGTGGGCTTTGACGTGCAGGCTACCTGAGTGTTCTGCTGGGTCAACTCAATACACCTCTGATGCCATCGGCTTCCCTTTAGCTCCAAGAAAAAGAGCACAATGCAAGAGCAAACGTGAACCTAATCTGTATCGTTACGATGTCCAGTTTAGGAAACTCTGGAGCTCACTTTTAAAATAATCATTACAAGTAGCATTTACAATGTGTCTACCGTGCATATGGAGTTCACGTGGGGTAACTTACTATGTCCCCATTACAATCTGGTGAGGGGGGCCCTGAATCTTGAAAAATTCTTTTAGTTCCATCAAAAATGATTTGCTCTCTACCACTGTTGCTTTTTCATAAAAATTCTACATCAAAACTACCTGATGTCACGCCCCTTCCTACAACAGCAGTGAAGACTGTATTTCTTTTAGCGCTACCCTGTCCCAAAAATTTGTCTACAGACTTCTAAAAAGAAAATTTGGCCAGACATAGTGGCTCATGCCTGTAATTTTAGCACTTTAGGAGGCCAAGGCGGGAGGATAGACTGAGGCCAGGAGTTCAAGACCTGCCCGAGCAAGAGTGAAACCCCATTTCTACAAAAAATAGAAAAATTAGCTGTGTGTGGTGGCGTGTGCCTGTAGTCCCAGCTACTCAGGAGGCTGAGGCGGGAGGATCACTTGAGCTGAGGAGGTTGATGCTCCAGTGAGCTATGATGATGCCACTGCACTCTAGCCCGGGCGACAGAGCAAGATCCCGTCTCAAAAAAAAAAAAATTTTTTTTTTAAAGATGAATTTAAAAATTTTTAAACTCTAACAATACCTACCGATTTACACAATTTTAGAAAACACAAAAATACACAAGCATACATTCCAGAGTGATGATGTCACCAAGTCACATAGCCTCTGGAAAACTCTACTGTACACTTATAGGAGAATGAGAATGAAAAAGGCAAACAACTTGTGAAACATTGCCTAACAATATATGCTTAAATGTATAGAGAATAGTAACCACTAAATTCTAAATAACAGAATTTCCAATTCTATTGAGGATTTAGTATTTGATATATAAAGTTACATTTTCCAAAGACAAAACTTTAAAAAAATTTTCCTACAAACATAAGGCATAAATCTCTGACACGCAAAAGAGGACATCTTTAATTCCTGGCCAAGGCTGCCTAATGGCTTGTCAGGAAGAAAACAGTGACAGAGGCAGCACCAAGACTTGAGGGCATTCAACTCCACGGTCAGCTTCGAGATCAGTACTAGCCCTGGGAGCACTGATTCCCACCCGCCCCTAACAATCTGAGGCGAGGTAAAATCTCAACTTAAATAAAAATTATTATCACCAGTAGAAAGCAGAAGACTTTTGGGAAAAATCGGCCCTGCAGGCACCAATATGTAAGTCCTTGATGAATGATACAGCTATGCCAGCGAATGAGTTATGGCAACACTGTATCCCAACACGCACTGACTAAGGGGGTCAAACTGAAACTATGTGAAAAACACAGTTACTTTGGAAATTCAATTATTCACAAATGATCTCTGCAGTCCTGCTGATAAACAAATCTCTGGGTGTCAGACACAGTCCTCACAATGTAGCGACCTTAACGCACAGGGTTCAAAAGCAGACTTAAAGGATAGAAAGAATTAAGAATAAGGAGTGAAGGAGAGGAGGAGAGGACATGCAGGGAGGAAGAACGTGAGGCTAGAGGTCCCCAGCTGAGCACCTGGCAGAACTCACAAGATGGCTGGGGCAAAGCTGGAGCTGGGAGCACTCCCCCACTCGGCTGGTCTGCAGTGAGGGAGAACAGAACGCCCTCCGTGGTGACACTCTGCACGGTCCTGCTGATATCATCATCGTTTCTGTTG